TCGGGGAGATATTTTTCCCCAGCTTCAGTTATTGAGTCTTTCGTTTTCCTCCTTAGTTCTTCCGATTTAGTCATGTTTTCCAGAGCTGGAAATTTATTGCTTACTTCTATGGAGAAACGTTCTTTCAATTCTTGATTTGTCTTTAAAAGATCTAGGTCAAATATTGGTTGGTACTTTGACGTTTTAAGTTTCTTCAGTCTTATCCACATTTTACACATGACTGGTACATGGTCACCATCACAGTCTGCTTCTGGCAGTGATTTAGATGATTTGATTGTATTTCTAAAACGTTTCTGAATAAGTATGACGTCTATTTGGTTTCTACTTCTATCGCCATGACTCTTCCAAGTGTCTCGATTTTTTAGTTGATTTTCATACCAGGTGTTTGAGATCATGACATCATTTTCTCTGCACCATCCTATCAGTCGTTTCCCACGTTCATTCTCTCCACCCAGTCCCCATGGCCCAACTATATCTTCTATACGTGTACTTCCTACTTTGGCCTTAAAGTACCCCATGACCCCTGTACGTCCTGCGATTTTAACTGTTTCATTGCCTTATCGAGTCTTCATAAAAAAGTCTCCTTTTCCTTGTTGTCGAGCTCTGATGTTGGTGCAGATATTTGGATGACACTTATTACAAAAGGTTTACCCTCTAATTTAGCCACGATGACTCTAATTTAGCCACGATGACTCTATCTTAGCCACGATGACTCTATCTTAGCCTCGATGACTCTATCTTAGCCACGATGACTCTAATTTAGCCACGATGACTCTATCTTAGCCACGATGACTCTATCTTAGCCACGATGACTCTATCTTAGCCTCGATGACTCTATCTGACACTCCCCAAGAACGTTTGACGCTCTTTGCTGTTGCTTTGTCAAATAACGTTCCGACTCCTCTTTCGTGGGTTTTCCCTCCTGAGTATACAGACCAGACCATCAATGCTTTATTTATAGCGGCACCAGCCATCCATGTCCAGGTGCTGTTTTAGCCTTAACCTCCTGAGTATACAGACCAGACCATCAATGATTTATTTATAGAGGCACCAGCCATCCATGTCCAGGTGGATCCTCTTATAGTCAAGACTGCCCCCTCCCATCTAACTTCTGAAAGGCCTGGCAATTTAACTTCATCTTATCCTTTTCCTGCTCTGCATTATCTAATTTGCCTTTCTGGTACATTGTTCTCACATTCCATGTGGCTATGTTAAGTTGTTTATTTTTGCAGCCAGTAGCTGGATGACGATCGGGCGCCACCATAGAGTTACCTCCTTTTAAACTAGAGTCCGTACGAGGTCACGTGACACCATAGATGTACACTATAGTTTAAAAGGGGGTAACTCTATGCGTGACACGGACACATTTGAGTTTGGTGGCGGCCATTTTTAATGTGGCTAAAAAGTTTGTTTACATGTGAGT